CGACAGAAACACCCAAACTCGAATGATGGAATATAGCCTGAATACGATTCACATACGCTAATATCATATAGCGTATTTTTTCCTTATTGTTGTCCAGAAGAGGCATAAATGTGCGATATGCTGCTTCGTCGAAAAAAACTGCCAGCTCTATGGTTATCTTTTCTTGTGTACTTCGTACGCGACGTCGCTTCGGTTTAAAGTTGTTCCAATGATTTAGATTTAAACCATTAAAAGATAGCACTGACGTTTTAATAAGATGAAATTTGCCAAATGAAACATTAATTTGTTCTTTAACGCAAAAGTCATCGATTATGGACGGAAGCGCAAAGTCGTTCCGCAAAGGCCGAATCTCTAATGTGACGTTTTCCACAAAAACGAGTCCTTCCTACTTATAAAAAATTTATTTGTTTTTTACTCGTCGTGTTGTTTTTTAACTTATATGTATATAAAACAACGAGAAATAAAAATTCAAATTAAAAATATAACATCCTCCAAACTCTTCGTTTTCATGTGATACTATTTGCACTGACCAATCCATTTCCTTGACAAAAGTTGATGGCCGCAAAGCTGACATGATCTTCGTGAAGATAAAAGCAAGAGATCGATGCTTTTGACTGCGAAAAATTTTCAGCAATGCTTTTTGCATTATATTTCCATACATTAGACGCAGGCAATACAGTCTGATCGTCTCTACGCAGATTCAACTGAATCAATTTTCCGAAAACTTTCAAAGTTAATGGTATCTGCAATTTGAATAATTAAGAAAATACTTGATAATTTTTTAAATAACACTTTGGGCGCAGAGCAACAAATAAAACACTACAGTAATACGAACATACCTCATTCATGCCTGTCGGGTTCAATGCCGGCAGCAATAATATTTCGCTATCTTGCGTGATAGACTCGTACGTTACATTTAATATAATTATTAACACAAATTTCAATATAAGTAGCATGTTTTATTTGCGTGTTTTGATTCTAAATATTTGGAAATATCTCGTTAAAGAACTTTTATATATTACAAATTTTTATATACTTATTTTATAAGACACTTATATTTATTATATCTTAGAAGATCGCGTAAGAAATACATACTGTCATCAGAGTTTAAGAACATAATGTGTGACACCTATTGTATATATTCTTTACGCTCATACATACACATATCTGTGTCCCTTTCAGTTTCGTATCATATATACAATAACATGTGATACTTGCAATAACGGTGGAGTTTCAAAAAATACAATTTTTGTTTGAAATTGTGAAAAATGTAATATCATTTACAAACATTTCAAACATTCACAAATGTCCAATTTTTATTGAAGATAATCTAATTTTTGTAGGGTCACTAACACATTACATTGCGTGCACCGTCTTCCCGCGCGGAAATATGAAATAAAATACAAAGAGAAAATACATTAAAATACAATTCAAAATTAACATTTTATCGAAATTCATTAAATAATTGTTACTAATTATAAAAATTTCAAAAATGCAGATTCTAACATTAATTAAAGCAATAAAAATGTCTATTTATACAATTTCGCTTAATAATTGTGTATCAAATTGAAATTATATTATATTCTAATATGTTTGTAGATAAAGTTTTATTTTCTACGAAATATATAAAATTTAAACGAAAAAAAAGAGAATGGCTAAAAATGTAAGACCAAGTAAAGGTGATATTATAACATTATTTTTATTAAAAATATAGTGATAATATATATTTCTTTGTAATTAAAAAATAAGTGGCACGAGCAGTACGTGCTTGTGTGTCTAATAATACAAAATTACTTAGTACATTTTTTTTATAATCAAAACCCATCGAACATCATATTCACTCAATATATCCTATATTCTTAAGAAACACCAAAATTATTTTTCCATACAAACAAATAACAAATAATGTCTGGTATAAAACAAATTAAAAACTTGTCGACTCATGCTCGTTTTGCAATTTTTCTTTCTATCGGATTACTCATTAATAACATATAAATAATGTTCTTTAATCATTGTTCTTCGAATGAGTAGCTTTGCGGCAAACAATAATGCTGGCGGCAGTAATAATCCTCGTCATTTTCTTTGTGACACCACGTTCCATCCGGAAAATATGGGTTGATACCATAGTCTAGCATTTTGAAACGTAAGTTTGGTGTGTAATAAATAGGATGTTTCTTTCGTACACAGTGTATAGTACAAGCTATCCACGGTTTATCAACTTCATGAGAAGCCTGCCATCCCGGCTTTGTTTCCAGTTCAAACATGATACGGCTAAATTCGGTGCATTTGTTAGTAGTGAACTCGGCGATTGTCTTGCGATTTTGCCGACAGAGTGACGAATCATCGCACAAATTGACGTCGTAATATGGTCCAATGCAATTGGCTGTTTTGTGAGTTTTATGTTTGCAAAAACGTCGTTTGACTAATGCGCCTTTAGATTCTTCCAAACAACTGCTTTTACAAGTGTCTTCCTTCCATTCACTCCAGTTATCGTCTTCACAATACTTAAAAATGTATGGCGGCTCGATAACTGGTACGCATTCTTCTCTGCGACATTCC